CCCCAAAACCCCAAAACCCCAAAACCCCAAAACCCCTAATTTTTCATTTCATTGAAATTTTAAACTTTGAACTTAAAAAGCCTCTTCTAAGCTCTTCGTGAAAACCTTGAACTTAACAGTAACTCCTTAGGAATCTTAGTCTTTGGTAGGCGAAGCTTGTGTGGAATATGGAGATCTTGGAGTGAGTAACTATTCACTCTGGCTCTTGTCAGGTTGGGAACAGAAGACTTCTGAAACTGCTTCTGGATGGAATTTTGAGGGTTCAGGAAAGCTATTCTGTGTAATCAAGAACTTACAGTTGCTGGAGGTCCTAGAAATGCTACGCTGCTTAATGTAGTTGTGGTATTTGGTGTGGCGCTGGATGTTCCTGAAGAATTATAGAGGGCTTAAAGCAGGTACAAAGAGGCTGGAGTAGGATTTTTGGATTTAAAGGGATTTGGATGCAGGAAAGATGAAGAAAAGGTGAGATAGATAAGTTTTTGAGTAATTTTTGGTGGATTTAGTGTACCTGGTGACTCTGGAAGTTGAAGGCTCTGTGGAGTAGTTTGATGAGTATTTGAAATCTGACCTTTTGTAGAATTTGTTGGTTATTGGAATTTTTTGGATCTTGGGAGGGGAGGTTTTTAAATCAAAAATATAGCTCCTCTCTTTAAAATTTCTATTTTGTTTACATTTTGAAATTTTACTTGGGGTTATGTTTCAGAATATCGAATCTCTGGAGACTTCTTTGTGATTTGAGATTTAAAGGTCTCTTTTCTAGATCTGTAAAATTAAGATCATTTACTCTGAATAATGATGTTTTATCAATGATAAAAATAGCTGAAACAAATAATTCATACCTTTAACAAGAGGTTCTCTTTTTGGCCTGCCGCATTTACATTTTTTTCTAAGCGTCTTTAGCTCTTTCGTCTCTTCTAGATCTTCATTTTCTTCATCTAATACAATTTCTCTTCCTAAACTTTGAGCATAGCTATTTCTACAGGGCAATCTCCCAGATAAAGGAGAGCCGTTAGAAAGTTTATTTTGATACTGAATCTTTTCCAAACTCATCAAATGAAGAATCTGTCTGGCTAAGGTTATCAATAAAGATAGGGACTTCATCCTGGTCGATCATTAACCTGGATGGGACTTCAATTCAAACCTTGACTTCTTCATTCTGTGTGATAAAATTACTCTCTGAAGCCGGAAGCACTTGAATATTATTAAGCCTAGAGAAACCTTAGAGGATGTGTTTTACTCGTGAATGCTCTTATTTCTGCTTGAAGACGTTGACTCTACCAATGCCTGAGTAGACTACAGCTTCTTTCTCACAAGGAATCCCTTTTATAGGTCTGTAGTTAGGAGTTTGAAATTACCTTGAATGTGTCAGGATCGTGCTGGCTGATTCTCTTGATTCCTATATTTTTAGGAAGGGAAGTACTATGCTGGAAGTCAATGGGGTTATTTGTTGTTCAGAGGACGAGCTCTCAGTGATAATGTACATTTGTTCGACGTTGATGCTGCTTGGACGTGAGCTAAGTTTGTTTGACATTGTTTTGAATGGATTAGAACGTTAAAGTTAATTGTATTCAAAATTACTGAATAATTATGGGGTTTTGGGGTTTTGGGGTTTTGGGGTTTTGGGG